ATGGTTTCTTTTGTCAGAAAAGGAGAGATTTCTGAGTGAACAGCTTGTGGGGTGACTGCCTGCCCTCTTCCAGCAGGAGGACCGACTTAGTTTCCTCCCCTTCCCTGATGAGTACCATTAACCTTTGTCCTGGGGTCTAAGATGACCCAGAATGAAGGGTCATCTTGGACCCCGGGATATCAAGGGAAGACTAGGGCAAACTCATAAAAGCTCCTCTTCCTGGACTGTCCTTTCCCCACTGCAGCCGGGATGCCTCGGAGGCAAATCAGAGCAGTGGCTCCAGACTCAGGAATGTGGGCATCCTGGTGTGAGTTCTCCTGAAAGCCTGGGTGGCTTAATGGCCTCGTGCCTGATCGGGAAAAGCCATCACACTGACTTGAAATGGCTTCCCCCAAATGAACAGAGGTGTTCCAACTAATAATGTTCTCCAAATGAAACAACTAGTACCAAGGTGCCCCTACAGACTCCCTGGTCCCCATCTAAGACCCTGACGCTCACAGGCTATCCCGCACATGGAGGACAAGTGGCCACATTCACTCCAGAAATAAGTGTTGAGCACTTACTATATGCCAAGCACTGTGCTGGGAGCTGGGAGGGCCACGGCACAGTCCTTGGTTTCAGTAGCTCATCTTCTAGCAGAAGAGACAGGCATAGAAACACATCATTTCCATGCAGCGAATGTGATCAGAGCAGTCCCTTCCAGGCACGTGGGGTCCCTGAGGGAGAGCCTGAAACCCTGGGGAGCCCAGGAAGATGTCACAGGCCAGGTGGTGTCTGGGATGGGATTTGGAGGAGTGGGGATCTCCCAAACAGAGAAAGGGACAGGTTGAGTTAGAGCAAAAGGAGAAGAAAGAGCCACAGTGTCGGGGACAGGCCCAGAAATGTGAGAGAAACACTGAGAAGTGAAGGGCGTGGAGGGCCGGCCGAGAGAGCTGGAGGCTGGCGGGTCTGCTGACATGGGGCTGTGAGGGCAGGAAGCCTGGACTCTATCTCGACATCTGTGGACAGACAGAAGACTTTAGGAGAGGAACAGAGGGAGAGAGGACAGAGCAGATCTGTGCTTTAGAAAGAAGAACAAAGGCAGTGATGAGAATACACTGGAAATGAGAAAACCTATATGGCTGGGAGCCCATCTTGGAGGAAGGTTGAGACTTGTGATCAAGCAAGCCCCTGGCTTCACTGGGCCGGTGACAGCGATGGTTCCCCAGCTCAGCCTCTCGATCAGAGGCAGCTTCCTTCCTGCGCAGCGTGTGCAGGATGCTGCCGGACAATTCACTTGGGCCATTTCACAGGATCCCCCCAAAACCCTGAGAAGTAGGGATCATGACCCCATTCCACAGAGGAGTTACCTGGAAAGTCACACAGCTGGCAAGTGGCAGGGCTGGGTTGCTGTGGCTCCACAGCCACACCCTCTACTTACCTGGGCTTTCAAAAGCCCACGGGGTGCAGGGAGGACCCTGGGATGCTAGGTTTCCACGACTTATGCCAGCTTGTGTCAAACTTACAATTTGGCTGCTAAAGTTCCACCAATCCTTGGCTTTTCTCTAATGAGGCGTTTTTCATAGGAAATACCAAAAAGATGGACTGTGTCTTCCCCTCTCTCCCTCTTGAGCATTTTGTTTCACTCTCAGGTGCTGGTCGCTAACCTCTGGGATCCGTGGCACTGGCTGGGCTGGGCTGCAAGCTCCCTTCAGCCCAATCCCCACTCCCTCCCTCAGACTCTTAAAAGCTGATATCACTTCGCTCCAGGTCCACCTCCTGGCTGGACAATGAGATGGGAGCTCTCCTTCCCTGAGGCAGAAGCAACCGTGAAGTCAGCCAGCATGTCAGTCCTTCCACTCCCAGCCACAGTGGAAGGGAAGGTTCCAGAAGTGTGGCTGCTAGGCTTGTAGAAGTTGGTGTCAGATGAGATTCATTCATACCCCGGAATGCTCAGAGCTTTGATAAACCTTCACTCTCCTGGAGGAGTCAGGCAAATAGGAAGTGATTCTTTCTCATCTTCTCTTGACAAAAATCCACTTTGGCTCCTGTTCCTACCACCTAAATCCACAAGCATTTCCTGCTGCAGCAGCGCGTGCTCACAAGGAAGAGAGCAGGCAAGGCTTCCCAGGCTGGGGGTTGCGGGGGGGGGGGGGGGGGGGGGGGGCTTCTGAGAGACCGACCTCCCAGCCAGGCAGCAGCGCTAGTGGCAGGCAGGGGCTCTGCTGGCTCCAGCAGCAAGCAACGACCCTACGGACTACAGGGCTCTAGGGCGCAACAGTCTGCAGGGCATAGACAAGGCCATACACAGAGGTCATAAAACAAAATTTATCTTTAATTTGTAAGTGTCAACAGCAGTACAAAAGATGGAGTGATGACGACTAGATTAAGGGTAGAGAGGACAGTCTTGAGGTAAATGAGCATAAATAGGCAGTTCGTATAGACACTCCCCTGAGGGGCCTGGGCCCCATCATGGCATGTACATTATCACCCAAAGATGGCATGGTTAACATATCAGGAAAGCACCTTGTGCAAAAAGGGGGGAAAAAAAGTAGCTAAGGTGCCAACATACACCAGGATAGAGAAAGACAGCGTGTCTTTCCATTTTGTCTTTTCCCTTAATTATGAGGCAGGGGGTGAGGGGAGAGACTTCGAAAAGTACCACTGAAAGATTATTCAATGTTGAGTTTTGTCTCACATCAATACTGCACAGCAAAATCCAAGAAGTTTGTGTATGCAACAAAGCTAAGAACAATGATTCATTCCTTTAAATTTGAAGAGATTCTATTTTTCCCCCCATTTCTTTAATCCTTAGCAAACTTTTTTTCCCATTATCAAGAGGAGAGTGTGAGAAAGATGTGATGGCAACCCTTAAGGTCATTTAAAAACTTTACACTGGACTGTACAAGATTTTTTTTTTGATAAACTATTTACATTTTCAGACTTTCAAACATATTCAAAGCAGCAATAGACACTAGTTTTTATGGTTTTTGTTTTTTCTAATTGCCCAAATAGTTACCAGCCATGGGCCAAGTAGGTACCTGCGTTATACATAGAATTTCTACAAAGAAAATCTGCAGTTAAGATTTGCTCAAGGGTGTGTTATGTGCCGTTGGCGTTTCCAGGGCCACACCCGCAGTGTTGCTACAGGAACCAAAGCACAGTACCTTGACAACAGAGTTGCAGTTGTCCCAACAGCCCTACACACACTTTACACTTTGAAACAGCAGCCAGCATGTCAGTCCAGCATGTCAGTGAATTGTGCTGATTAAATTAACATAAAATACAATCTCACAATATACATCACAAACAAATTACAATGTCGGGAAATAAAAGAGTTACAGTCAGATAAGTTATGTAGTAACAGCTTATAAGCTTGTCTACGGTAATAAAAATTTTACATGGCAAATACAATAATGCATAAACATAAATGCTAAGCATTCTAATTTGCTACACGCTGGAGAAGGTTACAATAAAGACTGCACTTTCCAAAAAGCAAAAAACACATATGACAAAGAAAGACGAACGGAGAATGCACACGAGCAGACCTGCAATGTGCAGCATACACAACAGTTAAATATTTGCACATTCCCCATACTCCAAGAGCACCAGCGTTGAGGCCTCACTTTATGCTTGTGGTTCTTCAGGGATAAGAAACTAGTGAGCAAGATATGTCACTGAGTTGCCGTCAAGCTTTCATATTGCCACGGACACCAATGAGAAGACCTGCACTGTTACCCGTCTGCCCCTCCATCCCTGCCCCCCCACCTCTAGCCCCACTCCGAAGGTACCAGCACTTCTAATACTTGTTCATGAGCTTTGGGAAAGCAATCTGTCCCCAAAGGAAAAGATGGGATGGGGATGAAAAGGAAATGTGTTTGCATATCAATATTTTCAATGATATCAGCAGAGGGTTATGCTCAGTAATAGTATAGGGCATAGGAAACAGAACATAATCGGCATGAATAACAGATAGAAGTTGTTTATTAAGGAAGAAAACACGTCGGTGGGGGAGGGGCCAGATGACTGAAGGAAACGATGCAAGTGCTTTTGTAAAAGGACAAATGAGGTCATACAATATTATACTTTGAGAAGTGAGCTTAAGTGCCAACTCAGTCCTTAGACAAACGTGTACAGAATCAGGCAAAGCTACAGCAACCACTCTGTTATTTTCTCATCAAAAAGGAAGACCCAGAAATAATTCCAATACATTCATCTAGCTGCACTGTTTGCAGTTGTTGGCACTTGGTACAGGGCTTCTCGTATGATTTAAAACTACTAAGTGATTCTTTTTCCTTTCCCTAATGAGTCAGTAGAGGTCACCTCTTTGCAACATCAGTAAATTGAGATAAGCAGCCTGGGCTGTGGTGTTCAAGTGACCAGCCTCCCTTCCTACTGGGGGCAGATGGACTTCCTCGAAACAGTCCCTGCTTTCAGCTAGTGCCTGTGCTCCTGGCTCTGGAGGGTGTGCTCCCAAGAAGAAGCGGCAGGGCTTCATGAGGAAAAGAAAGAAGCCTTTAATTTCAGCCCTGGGGTGATCACACCCTTTTCAAACACCCAGGCTCCAGTGGGGCCAATGTTCAGGGGAGGCCAGGCTTTGACAAGCTCAATAGCACTGAGCCCACACCTGAATTTAGAACTTGGCCTTCGAGTCGGTGTCAGGACCCTGGCAAACAGAATCAGGCCTGAGGACAAGGCTGGCGAGTATCAAATACCAAATGAAGCAAACTGATGCGCTCCTAAAAGGTTGAGCTGGGTACATGTGAAAACAACAAAGCTCTCATACCTTCTGGAAAAGATACTGCATCACATGTGCCAGTCAAACAGAGAAACTGCCAGCCTGCTGCTCCTGTCCACAGATTAGCTTGTTCTCATTCCCTCTTTCTTTCCTTTCTTTTTTCTTTTCTTTCTCTTTCTTTCTTTCTTTCTTTCTTTCTTTCTTTCTTTCTTTCTTTCTTTTCTTTCTTTCTTTCTTTCTTTCTTTCTTTCTTTCTTTCTTTCTTTCTTTCTTTTTTTTTCTCTTTCCTTCCTTCCTATTTTTTTATGGTCCAATTTTAGGTTAGGATTGTCTGCCAGTGTCCCTATTCTAAGTGACATGGAAAATCCTAATCCTGTAAATTCTTTACCAAAATGGCGAACATTTTTATCTCTGATTTGAATATGAAATAAAAAGCACTGAAAAGAGTTTATTAATAATATTTCCTTTAATTGGCATGGTGGGACTTTAGTTCATGACCAATCTCAGGGGCAGATTTTTGCTTTTATAACATCATTCACGCTTCTTGCTATAAATGGTCACAGAGTTAACTTACTCAATTGATGTGGATTCACAAAGCAAACGGACTCTCCCCCAGCTGCCCTGGACATGTGGTATGCTCCATTCATCGACTTTCTATGAGAAAAAAAGCCAAAGTCTGAGTCTGCGGACAGTGGGTTCTAACTGCATGAGGCCCGAGTGAGGGGCTGTCGTGCCCCAGCGCCAGTGGGACGCTGCACTCTCACCGTGGCTGGTAACCCATTACCCCCACACGGTGCAGTGACTCCTCAACTTCTAGTCTGGACCAACACATACGGATAGAGAACAAAAAGGAAATACATAACTTATATCTCACTAAGTACTCATGAACCAAAAATAAATTCTATTTCTATGTTATATTTACACAATTAGAAAAAAAATCTAAAATGAGATGGTAAAGTCATAAAAAACTTTGTTTAAGCCCCACTGCAAAGAAAATGAAGTGATCCCTATGATTGTCATTCTTAATTTCTAAGGATTTTTAGAGCCAGACTTGGCTAATAAATAGAACAAACTGCTTATGCGCAGAATTTAGATTCAAATACAGCATCACTGTTTGACCCAATGCAAGGGTGTTTACAATCAGATCATTCCTGAATAGCCTTTCATTTTCGAGAGCACGACTAGAAGTAACTGAACCCCAGTGCTGGGGCAGAGCTGGAGCTAAAACAAAGTGTTCATACACACATGTATTTTGCATAAATAAATGAAATAACAAGACATAAAAATGACTCAAATCCGGCAACTGTGAGGCAAGCCCACACGAGTCGAAACAGATGACTTTTGTTCATGTAGTTTTCGTACAACAGTTTCACATTAGTCAGAAGTGATAAAAAATACCATTTATATCCAGTGCTTATAACACTTACGAAACAACATCTGTGAGTGTGTGTGTTTTTTTGTTGTTTTTGTTTTGTTTTGTTTTGTTTTGTTTTACTACAATGGAAATCAAGTTTCAGTCCTAAAGAACAGTCCTTTGTTCTCCACCAGCCCAGAATATTATTTTGGCATGGTCATAAAACAAACAAAATTAACCTACTATTCTAAATGTTTGCCTCTGTGCAAAATTAATTACATACATTACAATGCTAGCCATACAGCACTCTACCTATGCAACAAAATAAAAAAGGAGTGGAGAGGGCAAAGCAAAGTCAAGGAGGATGAGAAAAAAACATGAGGATGAACGAGGAGGAGAGGTATACGTTCAAAATAAATCAGTAAGACAATAATAAATACTCATTTTTTAAAGAAAAATGACCTCCTCCTCATTTGAAATAAATGTACAAAAACAAAGTTCCAATCCCCAACCAATATTAAGAACAAAATATTCCTATCAGTACCTTAATCAGCTTATGGAGAGCACTCCCAGCTAACGATGTAGCCAGTATATTGTGGCTAGAGCTAGTTATTGCTATTAGGTATGGCCTTGAGCACTCTTTAAATAAATATGAAGGTACACTATTTTCTTCCAAGTGACAAAAATGGCTCAAGAAATCTGATGGGGCTGTTCCTATGTTCTGGTGATCAGATTCTGGATTGTCCTGTGAGGTGAACTGTCCCATCTGCAGACATTCTCCCACTGAACCACTCTGGTGATGGCTCCCCTCCCCCATAGGCAATCAGGCCAAGATCCCTGTGAGGAGGAGATGGGGAATCCAACCTCACTGCCTCCCAGCCCATCAGCACATCTCCAAAAAAGTCCTTGTGTGACAAGTGTAGTTAATCTTGTTCACACGGAGGCCACAGACAGAGGACATGAGCCTGAGGAACTCCTCTGCTGCCCCAGGAGTGATCTGTTTCCAGAGTTAACAGTGGAAACATCCCCTGTAGAGAATGTATTTCCCCTCCTTCTCCTTCCCTAAGGTTTTCTTTCACCCTCTGGATGTATCATGACTCTCTGCCTCTATCTTTTCGTAGAGGCTGTCACGTGGCTTCTTGCATCCTGGGGATTTTGCAAAGAACTCCCTAAATGGGCCAGATGGGACAAGGCAACTCAGTGTAAAGATGCCAGCCCGAGACAGCGTCACTGTGGCCTCCTCCATGGCCCCCAGCCTTGGGCTGTAGGTTTGGCTGCGGGACTTCTCTGCTGGGAGTCACCACCGTTGACCCTTGCTGCTGACCCTTGCTGCTGAGTGACATTCAGGGCAAATGCCGTGGAGGCAGATCCTACCACTTGCTGCTGAGCTGACTTAGGGGGAAATTCTGGCAAGAGACTCGGGGTCACAGCAAACCTCAGGGGCCTAGCTGTTGAAGTGTAAGACTCTGCACCTGTATGCAAATACACAGCCCTGCAGCGTGATACACACTCATGTTTAAAAACAACACGAAGGTATTTGATAGTACCTTGTTTCAGAAATGCTTCCAGATGCTCTGGGGACAAAATCACTATGTACATCTTTCGTATCTAGCAGGAGAAGGAGGTGGAAGGGCTGAAAAGTTCTTTGGGGAAGGAAGGTGAAAAACAAGAATTATTAAATTAATGCCACCAACAATTTTTTAAAAAATAAATAGTAAGTGGACCCTTGACATTCTGGAATGAATAAATTATTTAAGAAAAAATGTGTTAAGACTGAATGTCAGGGTTAAAGGCAAAGGGATGATGGATGTAGTGAGAGGTGGTCTCGGGCAGAGGAGACCACCATGTCGGTATCTGGTGTGGTGATCGCTCTGGTGTGCACATGTCATATACACGTCACACACTGATGGCACGTCAAGAGGCAAACACGATTGGGTACATGCACTGTGGCAACCTTGTTCATTCCTTTCAATATCTTGTCTCCAGATTCCTGAGTACTTTACCATTTTTCTGGAAAAAAAAATGTCTGGTTTGCTATTTTATTTTAAGATGCCAAAGATTGTCTAAGACTTTGCAGTGTCTCCTTTAAGACTTTTCAAAATATTAAGATTCAAAAGTGATGAAAAAGTTTGGCACATTCAAAGTTTAACTCTACACATGGACACATGGAATTCTGAGGCCTTTTGAATATGCTCTACATGCAGCTGCACACGCCGTGGACTTGTTCTGTTTCACAAAATGAAATCCTCAGTTATTTTCTAAAGTAATTCAGAATAAAAACACATTCACAACCTGTAGGCCGGCACAGCATACCTGAGTGAGAATGTTTAACCCCATCTAAAACAGTAACTTAAACCTTTATCAACATCCAAAAGAAAAAAAAAAAGTAAGACAAAAATATAAGACTTGTAAGACAGCTATGGGTTGAGATAAGTTTTCAAGTCCTGGTGTCTCATATTTAATATGTCTTCACCTAAATTTAAAAAACAACAACAACAATAACAATAACGACAAAAAACTCAAGTTCATGAAAAATCAGGGAAAACTTAATCTGTCTCACACTTTACAAAATAATTAAGACCATTCTGCTGATGTAATTGTGGAGCCACAAATGCATGCGGGCTCTTTAAGAACTTTTTGTTGGGGAAGGGGAGATGAAATGTCAGAGTATTTTAATTCAGCAAACAAATACTCCTCAGTTGGCACTGACAGCTTCTGGGGCTTCATTTTCGCTGCTATAGTCTGATTTGGGATCATCTTCATAGTCGTCATACATTTCCATTTCATCCTCTCCATTAATCATTTCATTTCCAGCTAGGCTTCCGCCATCTGTCTTCATGCCATAAGTGCTCTGGATGACCGGGAGGCTGGGCTCTGGGCTGGCAGAGGTGCTAGAGCAGTCAGATGTCATCTGAGGTGATGGTGTGGTCGTTGCCATAGTAATAGCACCAGGATACACAACACCTGTTCCTGTGGTGATTGGAATCTGAGGCTGTTGCCTGTATAGATTCAGAAAAGTAAAATAAAACAGGGGGAAATATTTATATATATGCTCTTCTGTGTGGCATTGAGAGTCATCCCCCATGTGTGCTAAAAGAGGGCCCTGTTTGACATTCTAAGCAAATGACAAAATGTGACAAAGGTGTTCCCTGGAGGAGTCCTGCGAATCTCTCTGATGCAATAGTTGGGGGTTAAGCAATACAATGGAGCGATTTATTGATGTTTTTGCTACATAAAAGCAGGGTACTTATAACATCACAAATTTGGCAAAGCTTGGGTAACAGCTGGAACAATTCCATAAAGTTACATGTGAGGTTGTTGTTTAAGATTCTCCCAGAACATTAAGAAAAGTAGACTGGTGACATGAGACATATTATAATGACACTGTTAAGTGGAGTTGAGAACTGTACAGAGGAAAGATCAAGATGAAAAAGGATCTGGTGGGTCCCATAGAGTCAGATTTAACAAAGCATAGATTTAGTATCCATGCAAATGTCTATTTACTTCTGTGGCAGAACTTGTAGGGAAAATCTTTCAAGGAGCTTCTATTTTCCTAATTGAGGAAGGATCTTGGATGTCATTATTCCAGAGCCCCTGGGCTGGGGCTGGGGTTGGAGGAGTCAGAAGTGAAGAGCAGTCAGAGTTCTGCCACTTAACAGAATGACACACATTGACTGCCTCATCCTAGAACCCAGCAGGGGCCAAGGCCTGGTCAAAACAGGTCATTCCATCACGATGTTCCTCTAGTTAAAATAAACGACCAGACCCTTTAGAAAGCTCAGTCTCTCAATCTGCAGGGAGACATGGCTCTCTGTCTCAATTGTCCTTGAGTCACTATAAAAGGTCAAAAGGATTAATCTCATTCAGAGGCTACGGCTGAAACATCATTCTCATGGATGCAACAGTCACCAAGTTTTCGCAATCTTAATGTGCAGTGATTATAATTTAAATTTATTTCAAAACGTTACTGTAACTATCCTTTCTGAGCCTCAGTTTCCATATATTTATAAAAGCTGGGGTCAGGGGAGTTGTGGAAGGTCCTTTCACCTTCTAATACTCATGGCTTCAGGTCAGTCCATCACTTAAATGATTCTTATTGACCCTCCACATTATCATTGAAGCTTTCTGTCCACCTCAGTCTCAAAAGAAAGTACCCTGAATCAATGAATTAGCTTGGTTCCCAGCTATTCTTCAACATGTCCAGAGGAACATAATTTTCTCAAAAAGGCCTGCGTACCTTCCATCCTAGCAGAGGAGAAATGATGAAAATGGCCTAGAATCACTCTGTGAGATATCTGATGATGTTATCTTTAACAAACTCTTTCATTCCCTAGAAGGCATCATAATGATCCCTCACCATTGACTAACATAATATATATAATATCTGTTCTCATCTATTGCCTCATTCAATTACCATGGCAGCCCCATGAGGTACTATTATGCTCACTTTTCAGATGGAGAAAACAAGGCCTACCAGCAGAGTCCTATGAACTGAGGTCACGTGACTTAGATTCCATCACTCTTTTCTTTATAGATATACAAGGCACCATGCTTCTGTATCATAAAAATTCCCAATTCCTATCGATCCTGTTGTTATCCCACTAACACTAAGCACCTGTTATTGATCCACTCTCTGTGATGCTCATGGTGAATTTTTAAATGCCCGAAGGAGAAGATGATAGAGAAATCTAAATCTATGTTTAGAAATATCTCATAAAATACTGATTTCCCTCTTAAAGAACCACATTCTAAGAACAGCACACTTCTGCTTCCTAAGTTTTGGGCAAATAAACACGAATATACTGTTATGCCAACCTGTCCAAGGCAGTGAATGCCTCATTAAACATTTTACTGAATTTGGATAATTGCAATACAAATAATTTTGCCTTAATCACATAATGAGTGTGTAGAAAAATCTTTCACTGCAACAGTAAACCCATTTTACAGAATTCCCAATTTGGTGGGCTAATCTGTAAACACACTACATACCATACATGAGCTAGTGGAGAGCACACTTCATTTTCACAAAGGACATTTTCTTTTCACCAAGACTAGGTGGTCATTTTTTGCAGTGTTTTTAACTCAAAATATCAAATTTTAGCTCTGCCAAATAAAATTTGAATTAAGCTCCTATGCTGGGGACCATGCTTAAATGCTTTCACGTTATCTTCTTTAATCTTCACAATTAGCCTTCACAATAAGCCCTCCTTCACAGATGAAGTAACCAATTAAGTTTCAGGGATTTTAAGTTGCTTGTCCAAGGCCACACAAATCCCACAGCCAGGAGGCGAGCGCTTCCTATGTCATGAATGCTCTCCTGGATGTTGAGCATGGGGCAAGAAAGGCAAGCTCACACACCAGAAAGATACTGAGCAATTTGAATCAGAATCAAATTCTTTTAAGTGGGTTTCACATATTGAACAGTATTTGGACATTAAGTTGGTAATGGGTCACTAAAAACAAGTCAACAGACAAATAAAACACCTGTACAGCTTATTTTCTGGAGCAAGATGCATATGATATTCAAAAGCTTGGGTGGTTGAGTGATACTAGACGATGTCACCCACTGACCTATCTACTTTCTGCCTGGCCATTGCCCTCATTCCTTACAGATGTCAGGTCTTGGTTCACTGTGGCCCTCTCTCCAACATTACTCCTGCCTAATTCTTGATGACTTACTCTCCACACAGATGATCATTCTGACACATTGCTGTCTCAGTTTCTTGAACTTCTCTACACTCTGATGATCTGGCCCCCTCCCTGTATCAGTTGCTCACTCTCATGTCATAAGGCAGACCTTGTCATTTCCAACTACAACCTCTCCTTGACCTCAATTTTAAACATCCCACTCTCTGACCACCGCATCTTTCCAGTTTCTTCCTCTACTCCCCAGTTCAACAATTCTCCCGCCCCTCAAGGATCTACAATTTCTTGAACCTTTAATCAATGCTCATTGTCCCTCCCTCCCATTGTGTCCTCACCATACTTATTACTATTTGATATTTATTTATTCTTTACCCAATATAAGTGCTGCAATTAGTCTCTCTATCACACAGATACTTTCTACATTCTTACCTGGGAAAACTTTCACTCTCTGGCAACTCTGTGACTACACCACTCAGCGGAACTTGGCTGGGAAAGCACACTGCCATGCTTACTAGTCTCTAAGTTCATGAGCATGAACTTGACCTTGACCTCTGGTGCTGTTCAGCCATCATTTTGCACTCTTTCTTCTACTCTGCTAGATAATGGTTTCATACCTTCTTAACTTCTCCTCCCCATCCCTACTCTCAGTTGATTTAGCTTTCCATTTCACGGGAAAATTAGAAGTAATCAGAAGGAACTTTTCACAAGCTCCCGTCATCACATTATCTGCTACCTGTCTATGCCCCTAATTCTCTTCATGCCTTCCTGTATTTGGGATCAATTCATAATCCAATGTGCTTGTGCACTGAATCTATCTGCTCTTGTTCTAGAGACCTCTTTCCAGCAGCTGTCTCTCCCCACATTATCAATTTTCCACCTTTCCTGGATCATTCCTATTAGCACGTAAACATGCCATAATCTCCCCTGCTTTAAAACAAACAAACAAAAAACCCAAACACTGTTTCTTGACTGACATCCCCTTTCAGCTACTACTCTGTTTCTCTAATCCCCTTTTAAGCATAACTCTTTAAAAGACTGTATATATTCACTCTCTCCATTTCTTCTACTCAATTCTTTCTTAAAGCCACTTTTATCACTCCCAATACTCCACTGAGACAGAGTTTGAAAAGGTCACACTGCCAACGATCACACTGTGGAGAGCGGCTACAGCGATTGGACAGGTTCAAGCCTGGGACTAATGAAAGGACACGATCCTCTCATGGCAAAGCCACGTGCAAGTCCCAGCACAATTACAGCCAAAGGCTATAGTTGTAAGCTTGACCTTATGGTCCGAACCTGTAGCCCCATGTGGCTAAGTGATATGGGCTGCGAGAGGTGCAGCAAGTAAACAAAGCTTGATCAGGTGCATGTAATTGAGTAGATTCGAAACCCACAAGAACATGGTAAACATCTTGACCATGCCCTCACTTTGCCTCGTAGAATCTGGCTATAAAATAAAGACTCAGTTACAGGCCATGGTACTGTCACTAGCTCTCCATCAGAGAGGACAGTGCCCCACCCATGTCCAGCTTTCTTCTTTTGTCTGTCTTTTCTCAATCTTTCACCACCTCCTCTCAGGCTCACCAAACCTGGCTGTGCTGGCGCAGCACATATGGCGCCCAACGTGGGGCTTGAGTATGGGGAACAAGGACCTGAGCTCAGGTTCACCTATGGCCATGCCAGCTCGGCACATTACACTGTTAAATTCAAAAGTCACCTTACTTGACTTATGCCATGAGCAGCATATGATACAGTGAATCACTTTTCTCTTTGCTGAAATACTTTATTCACTTGTCTTCCAAGACTACCGTCCCAGTCTTCTTCCTGTCTCATTAGCTGCTCCATCTAATCTTTGATGCATCATCCTCATCTTGCTGACATCTCAACACTGAAGTACCCATGGACTCAATCCTTAAACCTCTTCTCTTTTCAGTCTAAATTCATTTTCTTGGTGATCTTGTGCAATTCTATAGCTTTAAATACTATGTGTGCTGACAACTCTCAAATTTATATCTATAGTAAGCACTATATTCCTAAATGCCAGTGTTTTATATGTAAAACTTATTATTATTATTATTATTTTTATTATTGGATATCAAAATGCCATCTCAACCTTATAGGTATAAAACTAAACTCCTGATCATGCTTCCAAATATCTGATCTCATGGCCTTTCTGATCTTTGTTAATGGTAACTTCAGCTATCTGTTTGCTCAGGCCAATCCTTGGTCATCATATTTCTCTCAAACCTATATGCAATTCATCAGCAAATCCTATCAGTCCACTCTCAGTAATATATTCAGAATCTCTCCACTTCTTGCCATCTTCACCCCTATAAACCTGGTCCAAGCCACC